CATAGGTGATGATTCCTTTCTTTGATTGAGTTTTATCTTGATTTTTAGGTAGAAACCTTTGTAGATGTTATGAGTAGGTGTTGAGGACCCTTATGAATATTTGTTAATTTTTTCCCCATTAGTTTAGTATTTTTAGGCATTTTCTGAAGTTGCCTGATGATTTGGCCTGTTCAGTGGGTTATCTGTTCATCTGTGGGGTTCATTCTGAGGAATTTGATGGAGGGCTTGTGTTGCCTTGAGGATATTGATGGAGAGCATCATGAGGGGAAGCTTGTAGATCAAGATGCAGAGACCCAGAGCTTGTCTCATCTCCTGTCTGTGAGGTTTGAGAGCCTGAAGTTTGAAGGAAGTTCATGGTACTTTCCTGAGGAAGGCACTATGAATGACTTTCATTCTTCCTTCTCACCTCTTTCTTAAGTATCCAATGATGTTGGAGCCAACTTGTGAGTTTAATTTCTCCTGAGGAGGAATGTAAACTGATCACATGTTGTTGAGCCACATGGGATACAACTCCTAAGTGGAAGCCTCCTAGTACTTTCCTGAGGAAGGTCCTATGGGTCTATTCACTTAGTTCCACTAGTTGATCTAGGATTTCTTAAGTATCCAATGATGTTGGAGCCAACTTGTGAGTTTAATTTCTCCTGAGGAGGAATGTAAACTGATCACATGTTGTTGAGCCACATGGGATACAACTCCTAAGTGGAAGCCTCCTAGTACTTTCCTGAGGAAGGTCCTATGGGTCTATTCACTTAGTTCCACTAGTTCAGATAGGATTTCCTAAATGTCCAGTGATGTTGGAGCCTGCTTGTGAGTTTAATCTCTCCTGAGGAGGGATGTAAACTGATCACAGTGGTTGAGCCACATAGGGTATGATTCCTGAGTATACACCTCCTAGTGCTTTCCTGAGGAAGACACTATGAGTCTGATTGCTTAGCTCCCTTTCTTTGGTAAGCTTATTCTGAAGCTTGAAGACTGGGAATGATTTCTCTTGTTTAGGTTTTTGCCTGAGGGCTTTGCTTAGATTTGTTTAGATTCTGTGATTAGGATTAGAGAATAGGTGATTCTTTCTCAAGTGTGTTTTGTTTGCCTGATGGTACTTCATTTCCTTTATCTGTATGATTGCAGTTTACTGTTTTGCTTGATAGCATGTTGATTATTTTCAGTATGATTACTGTTATTTCATGACTGGCTTGAGGTTGAGATGAGCTTGTGGAGGCTGAAACCCCACACACATTTCCTCCCTCACTTGCATTGCATGCATTTTACTGTTAAAGCTGATGTCTTTGTCTGTATTCTATGTATCATTGACATGATCCCTTAGGACTCTCATTTCCTTTGATAAGGATTTGATGATAGACTTTTAGGTTGAAACCTATGCATGACAACATCTAGGAGTTCCCTGTTCAAACCTCAACCATAGGATGAATCCATGGCATGATAACAGACAGGACTTGATAGTCTCCCTCCTAGTTGAGCCACTTTTTCCCGTAGTTACCCGAACTACGTTTGCTCTGATCTTTCATACCAGATGAAAGTACGTAGGCATAGGATGCGACATCCTAGCGAGCAACCTTCCCCATCTTCACCCGTAGTTAGCCGAACTACGTTGACTCTGATTTCTCATTCTCTGATGGGAATACGTAGGCATAAAGCGCGACGCTTTGCCGAGTCATTTTCTTTTCTTTTTCAGCCAGCCTTGATAGGTAGATAGATTATAACCAACCCGTCCAAGTAAACAAACAAGCGAGGATCCCGTCGAGTACGACGGACGTGAGGGGTGCTAATACCTTCCCCTTGCGTAACCGACTCCCGAACCCAGACAATGGTTGCGATGACCTTGTCTTACCCTTATTCGTCAGGTTTTTCCGATCGTTTCCTTTCCCGCTCTGAGGGATAAATAACGAAAGGTGGCGACTCTTCTGTCATGCCGGCACCTTATTTTCGCGCAAGCGACAGTGCATAAGTGATTTAACTTATTTCGCTGCATGGAACACCATACTCAAGAATTGTTACTAATAGGACCGAACTAAATGATAAACTTTGTAGTGGTTCTAAATGATGACATTCTTTGTCTTACAGGTTTCAAAAATTTCTTTAGGATGTGTTTGGTTCAGGGGTAGATGGAGGGGAGGGGAAAATTTTAATTAAATATGTTTAGTTCAAATCTTAGGAAGAAAGGGGAGGGGAGGGGAGCAAAATCCCTCCAAAACACATTTTTTGGTTCCCTCCGAATTGGAGGGATTTGGAGGGGAGGGGAGGGAATATGAGTTTTGATATTTAAAAATTATTATATTTACTAAAATATCCCCAGTTTAATTTCAGTATTTCAAAATTATTCTTTTTTTTTTCGTGTTACTGTTTTTTCTCGATTGTTTCCATCAACTTATTATAATTGTTCTCCACCTTCAAATTATTTTATAATTTCTATACTTAAAATAAATCATAATCATTGTCTTTTTTTTATAAAAAAATTATGTTTAGTTATATTCATTTTTTTTCTTTTAATTTTATTATGTATTCTATCATATTTTCTTTTCTATCAAATTGTAAACCATTCATTTTATTTATTTTTGTTTATTCATTTCATTAAATATTTTGAACCATTAATATTTAATTATAAGTTATTTTATATATTTGTTTTGTTATATGATTCATCACAATTTAAACGATGTTATTGGCATATAGTTTAATTTAGGTTGGAAAGTTATAAGTCGAATCAATTGTACTCAATTTTTTAACTTTATGTGACAAATAAATACGTTTTTAATCATTAAATATTAGAAATTTTATTACCAACAAAAATACGCATGAATTTTTCAAATTTTAATATCATACGACTTATATAACATCATAAGGATAAAAATGTAAATTATTAATAAAATCCCTCTCTTCCCCTTCTAAACCAAACACATTTTTAATTAAAATCCCTCCATTCCCTTTTCCCTCCTCTCTTTTGAACCAAACACTTATCTGATTAAAAAAAATCCTTCACCTCCCCTCCCCTTCCCTTCATTAAAATCCCTCTCCTCCCCTCCCTCTCATTTGAACCAAACAGACCCTTATGGAGACATTATGAAAATGTACTTTTGAACTAAATTAGTCATAAAATTAGAGCGTAATTTAAAAACGAATGAGTTATATGTGTATATAAGATTCGTTCTGAAATGTATTTCTAAATTCTAATGAGCATTTGTAAATTTTCATAGAGTATTATTCTACCACATAAAATGGAATAAGAAATCCCCATAAGCAAAACCCTTTATAAATTAAAGTTCAATGGCCATACATAAGCCCATAAACTATTGGTAATTGTTATTAGTACGCTATTGTTCAATGATACGCTTAATATTTGGACCATTTCTCAATGCACCTATATTTCTTAAACACAACGCAGAAATTAAAAAATATCAAAAAAATTTAAAAACATCAAAAAAAAAAAATTAAAAATGCATTTTCAAACGCACCTTAATACATACATTCCATTTGTTTGAGTCACATCCAATTTTATAAATAAATTTATTCCAGCCGAAAAACATATTGCAACCGTTGTCTTCATTCAATCTCATCATGGTATAAAGAATTTCAATCTCATCATGGTATAAAGAATGTCATGGTATAATCAATTTTATTTACGCTTTCATTTTCTTCACCCTTAATACTCAATGGAGAGGATAAAAATGGCAAATGAATACATTAATATCACAAATTGTTGTACAGAAAATATTTACTGCAAGATTTTATTAAAATTTAAAAACAAAATTTTGGGGGTTGTATGTGAATATGATAGTTTGTTCCCATTTTTATTTTCAATTAATGATTATTCGTTTAAATAGCACTAAAAAAACACCATAGCATTAGATGCTTTTAATGATTTTGTTAAAAATTACATAAGATTGAAAGGGTAGACAAATTCCATGAGAGAAGATAATAAACAATCCTTGTGTTTCTATGGAATCATTCATTGATGTGGTAGTTAAGAAACAATGTAAAAAGAAAAGGGGGAGAAAGAAACTATGTAAAGAGTGACTTGAGTTGAGTTGAATTTTACTTCTATGGAATCATTCATAGACGTGACTCGAGTTTAATTCAAAATTTCAATGTAAAAACTATATTTATATTCAAAAGCTACAAATCTTAACTTTATAATCAATTCTAAAAGGCATAATCAATTCTAATTCTATTTGAGCGCAACCAAACACATTAAAATCAATTCTAGACATTTAGAATCAGTTCCGGGTGTCCAAAGTTCTGAGTGTCCAAAATGTGTTCATGCCATAAAATAAAGTTCAGCAAACCATGTTCATGCCATAAAATAAAGTTCAGCAAACCATGTTCATGCCCATAAATAAGACAATCCAATTAAACAAGCATAAATTACATTGGTTTACAACACACAATTTACCCCATTGATTAGGAAAACATTGACGAGAGATACAGACGACTATGAATCATCACAACTACAAATAGTCTCAAGAACAATAACCAAATCACATTCAAGGCTACTCAAATCTCAACTCCAATCGATGTGAAGTGAAGCCTATATTCAACTCTTAATCAAAATGTTCCTATAAGTTAAACCAGCGTTGCTAAATAATGGCTATAGCACTAGAGTGATCCAGAATTTGAACAAATATCTATTGTTCAATTCCTATTAGTATTTAGTACAAATGTGGTCAAATAGTTGCTATAACGGCGCTATAGCACTTATGTGTAGCAGAAGTTGAATGCTATTTTTGGTGATCAGTGATTGCTAACAAATTCATAATGGTTAACAAAAGAACACTTACTTGAACTGAAAAGAGAAATTCAAAATTCAATAATATTCATTAAATTTAAATTCCAAATAACATTGCAGTACTAAACAAATTTGGTTGCCGATTTCATCAAGACAAAAAGATACAGAAATATCTGCTAACTATAATCAAATCATAAACAATAAAACATGCAATTACAACAACATATAATTTAAAAAAAGTAACCACCAAACAAACCTACCTACATTATTCACTGAGATTATCCCCAGAAGTATCGGTGTCTTCTTCCTCCTCATCACCATCATCTCCTACCTGTATTTTCGATATTTCATCCTGAGCCCTTTCCAAAATCTGCTTCTTCTGCAACTCCAATTCCTTATTGAAATCCACCCTCATCTTCTCCAACTCCATCATTTGTTGCCTCTTTGTATTCTCAATCTTCTCGTATATCTTCCCAAACTTCTGAATAGAATCAGCCAACACCCTATATGAAGCCTCCTCCTCTTCCTTATCCACCTCATCTTCCTCCTCATCATCATCCCCATCAAAATCATCGTCTTCATGATCATCCTCCGAAGTCTCGGACTCGCCAGGACTATCCATCATTTCATCAAAACCATTAGACCTATTCAAATAAACCCTTGTATTCATAAACACATACTCGCCCGAATCAACCCCGCAGGCAAGTCCATACTCTTGTCTTGCAGACGAAGACATCAACATATCCATCCTCTTGAAAAATGGCCACTTGCAAGAATTCACACCCAAACCCATTTCATCCATTCTACTTTTCTCTTTCTTGTACCTTCTTTTCACCTTATCCAAAACACCCCTACACTGTGCAACATCCCTTTCGACTTTTAACTCTTCCGAAACTTTCTCAGAAACCTCGTGCCATTCCTCCGATCTCAAACTGTTTCTCCCAATTTGAAGAAACTTTTCCCCCCAAATCTCCACCAACACAAAAGTCGCATGTTCTGTCCATTCCTCAGAACCAGAAGAAGAACCACCACCACTGCGATTAACATACGAGAATTTGCCACGTGGAACCAATTCATAGTTTGAAACAGAAGAACCACCACCGCCACCACCACTGCCACTACCACCGCTTCGTAATTTTCTCTTCTTCCTAATGAACCCTTCGTTTCCTTCAAAATTGCCAACGTACCCATTTTCAATTCCGCCTTCACCTATGCTGTAATCGCCGAATTCTTCGGGTTCTTCATCTTCGTAATCATCGTCGATGTTGTTATCTTCGGGATCATCATAGCGATGATATTGTAAGTTACGAATTGGGTGTTTTTGACGAAGATTAGGGTTTTTGCGTCTCAATGGGTATCCCTTAGATGGGTACCTAGCGTCATCTTCCATGTCGTCCATTCTATCGAAGAAACCCTAATTGGATGGAGGAAAATTAGGGATTTTCAGGGAGAGATGTTTCTGATGGAAGAAAAATGTGAATTTTGCTGGTTAGGGTTTTTGTGCCATGTTCAATTTGGGGAAATAGTTTTCAGTATTTTATTTTTCAGATTCTTGTTTTTTTTCTCGATTTGGATGTTTTGGTGAGAGAGAGCGAGAGAAGTGTTCATGGGCTTAAGCGGAAACGAAAAGATGTTTTCTCCACACCTCTCTACACTTATATTTTCATACTTACAAAATTTGAAAAATATTCATTTAACTTTTTTACATCATCATTATTTTCATTTTTTGTTTTATTTTCTTGAATTTGGTGGATGTACACTCCTCAAACCAATTTTCCGTATATAACATAAATTTGAATTTGATATACAAAGTTTACAGAATAACTTTATTTCAAGCATTCTAATGTGTTAATTTTATGGGACGAGTTATTTTTTAAGTTTTATGTATTGTTTATTGAAAAATTTGCATTTATGTTATTTGATATGCATATTTGTTTGGAATCGTTGGAATGACGTCAATTAAGTTGACACTTTTTTGTTGCATTTGTTTACTCCAATATGAGTTTAATGTGTTTGTCACCTCAAAAAATAAAAATCAAAGGAGAAGTGAAGAAAGAGAAGAAACTAAAGGAAAATTATGTGTATTGGAAAGTTTCGTTTTATGAGATCTTGACCAAGTATTTATAATTCTCAAGGATTGTCAAAGGGTTTTAGTCAACAACTATCTCAGTCATCTTATAAATAATCACTTTAGAAACAATCATATCATAAGCAATCATCTCAGAATTCATTGTATTATTACATGGATATGATGAGGATGGTTGGTCCATAGGTTGTTATGGCTTGGATATTGAAATGACAGGTAGACAAATTCTCCATGTGAAGTTATTTAGAGAGCACATACAAGATGTTAAGACTTGGATAATGAAATTAGAGTTAGACAAATTCGGGGTGGACATGACAACCTCCAATAGGTTGAGGGTAGGTTGCCCCCCATGATGACGTTGTATGGAGAGAGGTGTTTACTACATGCTATTTAACATTGATTGTCTATGTGTTTGCCTTCAACTCGAACGTCTTCCACCCCCAAGTGTTTCATCTTTTTTTTTTTTTGCCAAGCTCGCATCCGAGTTGCACTTTATCCATCTTGTTTCTGGTGGTTTCCGTTTAGATGTTTGAATGCAAGGCTCTTTAACATGTATATGATTGCTCTTTTTGTTATATTTTTCAATATTCTTCCCTTTGTGTCTATCCCATTTTCTAACATTTTGATCTTTTTGCATGTGGTTATTTTGATGATGATCTTTGCAACCACTCTCTTTTCTTTGGTTATTGTGGCTATTTCTAGAGTTTTCCACATCATAACTCATCGGGTTGGCATTATGATCTTCCCCATTCCCTTTGATATGGATTATAACATCATTACTGATATTTTAGTTTCCTTGCATGTAGTTGTATCAAGTTTTACTATTGTTCTCCATATTGCATGTTTTGGTTTAGAATTTGCTTATCTTCAGTAGTTTTAACCCATCTTTTTCTATTCTTACTTTTTGCAGGTTTGTTGATCATATGGTAGTTTATAACTCCTTGGTTGAATTTTTCTATATATTTAATAAAACGTGTATTTTTGTTTTCATAAACTAAAGCATTTTTAGCAAACCATATGCAATAAATAATGTTTATTATCATTGCATTATTGTAGTTGTCCATCTTTATTATGGTATCTCTGACCTAGTGTGTGAAATTAAGATTATTGTTGTTCTTTATGTTAAGTTGTCAACCAAACATAACATGGTTAGACCATATGCAATTTTATGAGATAGTGGTTGATGGACTTTATGCCAGAGTTATATCTAGGGAAGATATGGTTACATCCTATCTCCCTATTGATTAGGTTTTCTAACTCATAAGGATTAGTTAAAGATTATCCAAATAAGAGTTTGTTGTCTTAGAGTTACTTGAATTATCCATATTTTCTTCCATAATTTTTTTATCCTTCTCCCTTTCTGATCCTTTTCCTCGTCTTGCTTCCAATTCTTTATGAACTAGTAACCTGCAATTTTCACACTATAGTTACCATTGGTAGCTTTTATCCAAATTATAATGTCTTCTTCATCCTTGTTGTGAAGAGGATACTCTTGATGACTTCTTTATCTATAGGGAGTAAAATATCATCAATTAGGTTATGGTTCCAACTATTGTCTTCCGTTTCAATTAGGTCACTAACTCCAATTACCCTTATTTCAAAGGATTTTGTGTTAGGACTTTAAATACATATTGATTAGGAACCCAATTTTCATTCCATTTATTAACTTTCTCTCAATTAGGTATTATCCAACATATTCATTTATTAATGATATAACTACTTTTATGGATGATTCTCCATAGGTAGATATCTTAATTTGAATAAAACTTATGTTTGGGTAGTATTTAGATTCTAGGGTTTTGGCCACTAAGGAGTTAGGGTTATTTATGAACCCCTAACCTTGTTTGGTAAGCATGGCGCCAATGAAGTATATAAGATTCACGAATCCTAACCCTTATTCAACATTAGATTTACTAAGAGTTGTCCATTTCTTCCAATGTATTTTCATAATATTTTTCTTTTCTCTCCACCAGAAATTTCACATAAGCTTTTCCATTTCCTTGCATACAAATTTAGGAATAATGAAAGACCTCATTATATATGTGGGAATACATTGGGAAACAACTTTAATCAGGGTAGTATGATCTACATATGAAATATTTTTAGTATTCCAACCATTGAGTTTTTGTATGATCATATCAATAAGGAATTAAAAAGTTTGGTTTTTAGAGGGGTTCATATAAGTGGGAAAATTTTGTTTGTGATAGGGATTTTTATCCATTTAGTGAAAGCATATTTATTCACTTGAGTATTGTTCTTGCTAAACATCATTTTGTTTTGGAATTTATTTTTTGACCAGGTATTTATGATGTTGAGGAGAATGTTAACTTCCCTCTCATCATTCTTGAAAAAGATCAAACTGCCATTTGTAACCTTTACTCTTCTTGCACACAAAACGAAATGAGTTCATTAAAAAGAAATCATTTTTTCTTTTAACAGTTATAAGATATCTTAAATTGCCTGAAGTGTGAAAGAAGAAAAAGTAATTCTAAATGAATGAGCAAGTATTTTGACATCTCCAGCTTTAGTGCCTTAAATTTTAAAACAATGTTTGACATTCCAATAGTGTATTCCCTTATATTTTTGTTGCCTTGATACTTCATGGAAAGCAAGTTCTGAAGAAGAGTAATTGTTTTCGCCTTATCTCTTTTTGCAAAGCGCTTTAAATCTCAACAAGAAAATATTTGGCACTTGTATTCTCTTCTGAGATAATGCCCTTAAAGACCTCATGAATGTCGCACTTAATGATCATGAGACTCATGCGATTGAACCAATCTCACCTCTTATAATCTTTCCTCTATTCAAAGGTACTAAATTTCATAGGAGAAGGTGGTTGTTCCATCCTTAATGCAGGGTCAAGAACCATGCAACCAAGAACAATTTCCTTCAAATCCTTGAAATTTTCCCCATTAAGGACCGAAATTAAATTCAGTTTAGCAAATATCGAAGCAACTGTAATTGAAAATAGAACAAAATAAGCACTATAAATATACTCACATAAAAAGAAAAAGTGAATCATCAATATGTTCAAATAATGGCATAACCCTCTCAAGATACCTAGTGCACCATCAATATCGAGTCTTTGGACACTAATATTAACTGCTAATGATACTCTTGTTGTAATAGTCAAATATTGATGGTAAAACACGTCAAATAATAAATCCTCTTTGATATGATTTATCATTCACATGTGAAACCTTATAACTATCACATGTGTGTATTAAATTTGGCCAAACATTAACTGTCCTTTGGGCCAATTGATACTTGCAGGATAAACATAAATAAAAAAGAAAAAAACAATTTAACATTTCTTATAAGCAATCTCCAAAAAAGAGATCACGTTGGTGACATTTTATTTTAATTGACTCACTCAAAATGTTAAAACTTTGTACAAAATTATAAACGTGGCCAAAACTTGAACAAAATTGTACCAAAGGATGAAACAACTAAGTGGCACGACCATGCAAACCAGTATGATATGCTTGTGTTCTAATTTGTGTTTATTTGTTTATCTGAAGCATGACAAAATAATATATATATATATATATATATATATATATATATATATATATATATATATATATATATATATATATATATATATATATATATATATATATATATATATATATATATATATATATATATATATATATATATATATATATATATATATATATATATATATATATATATATATATATATATATATATATATATATATATATATATATATATATATATAACAAAAATAAAAATTAAAAACCATAAAAGAAAAGAAAGATAAAACTTCAAAAATGACATTGATACAGTCCGAGTGACAGTCTGGGCGTCACAGACTGTAACAATCATCATTTAGAAGGGGTATCCGTTAGCCATCACTGGTGGTCATCAACAAAAATTGTGTCTGCCACTGGACTTCAAAGCGTGACGATTAGCCCGTCATCAACGATGACGGTTGTTATCCATTCTTAGATTGTGATTTTTGTTACACCCTTTTCTACCCCACAAATTAAATGGCAAAATATTCAAATTTATCAGAGTAAAATATTGAACTCAATAAAAATCACCTCAAAGGGCGTACATTTCCCAATCAATCAAATATAGGTCAAGGCTCCGTAAACAACGAGTTTTACCAAAAGATATCAAAAATTGCTCAAAAGGCATAATCCAAAGTTTTCCTTGTACGGAAATATTATCAAAATAACAACAATCAAAATAAAACATGGTTTAAATCAAAGACCAACCCGATGTTACACTATCAACGTAAGGCCCTCTATGTTAACTAAAATGGCCAACAACTCAAAACTCCA